TATCTGAGGAGCCACCTATGTACCTGAATCTACTGGACCAACCCAACTTAGTCGATGCCACTTTCTTTGATGCTGCGTTGGAATACACCAGGATCGACACCATTGTTCAAGGCACATTGTGTCTGGAAAGAATCTTATTTCCATCAGGCAAAAGACTAACCCTATATCAAAATCTACATTATGTCTGGAGACCACTGTAACATACTGATCCATCATTAAAACACGAATTGAAAACAGCGTTATAAGAATATAGCCAACATTATATAAAACCATCACCAAATAGGAAACGAATGTCAACCAGACTGAGACAAAGGAACAAGGTGGAAATCTGAAGTTTCTTAGAAGAGATTACGCATTTGATGCTGCGCTGGAGTACACCAGGATCGACACCATTGGTAAAGACACATTGTGTCTGGAAAGAATCTTACTGGCAAAAGACTAATCCTATATCAAAATCTACATTATGTCTTGAGACCACTGTAACATACTGATCCAAGTGGGAAAGTAAGTTCCGACAAGAACTTTATTGCATTTATAAACTTCTATGGCTAGACCCCCATTTGTCAATTGAATGGAAACATTCATTGAATGAAATCTTGGAAGACCCAGCAAATCTTTCATCTCCTCAATACCAGAACCATTGCAATGGGATAAAGGCCAAACTGGTTGTGGTGATACGGTCCCTTGCCATTGCAGAGTCTAGTAGTGGATACATTGAAAGTTACATTTTGAGACAAAAATGCTATTGCTATACATGGAAATGATGGAGCAAGAGGTGGCCTCTCTTCACTGGAAGTATATTGTTGGTGAGTCAGATTCACACAGCCAACAACATTTTCAACTTGGGATCCATCATGCTCCATGGTTACAATCCACCTTGGGACTTAGCATCGCTTTTAGCTGGTATGCTGAATGAGAGAAATGAGTTGGGTTTGACTGAGGAACAACTGGCTTCATCAGTCATCAGTTTTACATAATCAAATAAAATATTCTTTAAAATATCAAGATGTCTATGAATTAGATCAGGCCTGGCCAACCCACGGCCCGCCGTAAAAAAATTTGCAGCTCGCCATTTAACTTTATATTTCTTTTGTAACTTTCATTTCTCATCTGTATATTCAAAAACAGAAAATATATTGAAATAATTATAATTTTTTTTATTTAAAATATTTTAATACATTTTAAAGTTAAAAATTTTGATATAGTTAAAGTTTTTAGACCTTGTTTACGATTCCGTGCGGCCCGTGGTGTCATTTAGGTTGGCCAGGGCTGAACTAGATGCTTAATTTGACACTCAGTTTGTGTTAAGAAGTACGTGGAACTTCAGAACTTCAATTATGAATTCAGATGGTAAAACAAGTGAGATCAAGTCAACCAAAAGTAAGTTGTGTACACAGAGATATACAGGAATTATAGATTGAATCAATGCTTTAAGAAGGTATGTCCTAGAAAAAAGCAGAACTAAAGGTGTGAGAGTCAGTTTAGCCCAATTGATGCATTCTCAATTGCTGAATAGATCCCTTATACATCAGAGCATGTCAGAGACACTGGTCATCCACCCCCCTTTCTTTCATTCCTTTAAAAAGAAGCAGAGATGATAAAAAATTTGAAGGAAAAAGAAAGAGAGTAAAGCTATAAACACAAGGTAATATACGACCAAATCCAAGTAAATAGTGTGTGACGTTTCGGTAACAGCATTGTTACTATCTATAGGCCATAGATGACCACGTTGAAAACACCGGTTCCCATCCAATCACCGAAGTTAAGCAATGTCGGGCCTGGTCAGTATTTGGGAGGGTGACCACCTGGGAACACCGGGTGCTGTAGGCTTCTTTTCCAGTACTTTTGTCTTAAGATGGTGTTGCGTTCTCTACCTAACAAAAATAGCACTTGACGAACACTATAAGGTATAAACCATTTATTTCTATAAATAAGATACTTTCACTCTCCTCTTACACTCTATATACATCCAATCATTTTTACATATTTAATTTTCTATCAGAAAATTAATACATATCTACATATATGCTGCATTTTTTCTTTAAGAATAAAATTTGCATATGGAATCATTACAGATGGTAACAACACTGTTACCGAAACGTCACACACTATTTATTTATTTGAAATCGGTCTTATTGCCTTGTGTTTATAATCTATAATTCAAATTGTACCTTATCAGAGTAAGACTAGAAATTAGCTGGCAAAGAAAGAATCAAGAAAGGAAGGTGTAGATGAGCTGCGAGGTCACACTAACAGAACAAAGTGTAGAATATTTATTTGTTCAAAGAGTCACCCGACAGACGTTCAAATCGACACTAACAACAACAATACAGAACTGATAAGACACAATTTGGATTATAGATTATAAACACAAAGTAATAAAACCAAATCCAAATAAATAAATAGTGTGTGATGCTTCAGTAACAGCGTTGTTACCATCTTCAGACAAAAGTACTGAATGTAGTTTTCTGAATGTAGTTCAGTACTTTTGTCTGAAGATGGTAACAACGCTGTTACCGAAACGTCACACACTATTTATTTATTTGGTCTTATTACCTTGTGTTAACAATACAGAACTGTCAATTCCTCTCAAATCAAAAGCAGACATGTGGAATTCCTTGTCATCAACAGCTGAATATGAAGATTTATCTGGAATTTAGGACAGCTTCCCAGCAAAGAAGTACATTGATTCATTGAAAGGCCAACTTGATTGTACCATGACTCTAGTTTCCATTAAAAAAAACTTGGTTTTGCTATTCTATAAGCACAGGGTAGGGAGGCAAATGCATGGATCTAACACGTTTTCATGCACGGCATGCTGAATGAAGATTTTGAAGAGTAAAGAAAAACTATCAAATACATTGAAAGTACCCTTAATGCAAGAAAATCTACACTCCCTCGTAATTTAGTTTGGAAAGAGGTCTAAAACTAAATTTAATAAAATAAAATTTCAATTTGTATTTTTAATATGGAAACACATTGAAACACTATTTAATACAGCAGAACCTCCCTTTAGCAGACACCCCACTAGCGAATACCCCTCCACAAAGAACAGTTTTCATTTTCAAAATTACCATTTTTTTACAATTTAGTAACTCTCTACATATTGACTGTATTGACTCATCCATTGATGAGCTCTACCAGGTCTATTAGTATGAAACGCGAAAATGGCTGCAAGAGGGCGCTGTGCAACTTTATTTGAGCCGACGGTGGCGCTGTTGAAGGCATTTTGTTTTTTGACCCCCGTGGCATCAGCATGCGTGGAGTTTTAGAAAAATTCAAATTGTGGAAAATTTCTGGAGCCCGTGGAAAATGGTGATTTCCGAGCCAAAAAGTGCCCATTTGCGGGAAGTTTTGTTGTTCGCCTTCAACTGGAAGAAAAGTGCCACTGAAGCCCACCGAATGCTCGAGGAAGTTCACGGCGACCACGCTCTGAGCAAATCACAGTGTTACAGGCGGTTTAAAAAATTCCAAAGTGGCGATTTCGAACTTGATAATGAACCACGTGGAAAACCTCACCAAAAGTTCGAGGACGCTGAACTGCAAGCTTTGTTGGATGACGACAGTACCCAAACGCAGGAGAAACTCGCGAAACAGCTCCAGGTGTCTCAAGGTTCTGTTTCCCTACGTTTAAACAGCCTCAGAATGACCCAAAAGCTTTCCAGATAGGTCCCCCACGAGTTGAGCGAAAGGCAGCAAGAATGGCATCTGGTAACCTGCGAAGGGCTGCTCTCCAGGCATGAAAAGAAGTCATTTTTGCACCGAATTGTAACTTCTGATGAGAAATCGATCCACTTCAGCAATCCTATGCGCCAAAAGTCGTGGGGCCTGCTCGGCCAATTTCCAAAACGGAAGCCTAGGCCCAATCACTTAGGAAAAAAGGCAATGCTTTGCGTATGGTGGGACCAGACCGGCATAGTATATTTCGAGCTCCTGAAACCTGGCAAAATGTTCAATACTAGTCGCTACGAACAACAAATGCACAGTTTGAGAGAGGCGTTGAATGAAATAAGACCGGAATGGCGTGAAAATCACAACAACCTGATACTGTAGCATGACAACGCTCCAGCTCACAACGCTACGGTGGTCAAAAACACCATAAAAGACTTGGGCTGGGAACTCTTACTCCACCCGCCGTACTCACCAGACTTAGCGCCGTCGGACTACCACCTTTTCACATCTTTAGGACACGCCCTAAAAAAACAGGAATTTTCGAACTCAGACATACTCCGAAAATGGCTTGTTGACTGGTTCGACTCAAAAGGAATAGATTTTTTCAGACAAGGAATTCGAAAATTGCCTGAAAGGTGGTCCGAGTGTATAGCTAATCAGGGCAATTAATTTTAATAAAAAAATCTTTTGTTGTATGGAATTGGTGAACTTTTGAATTCACTGAAAATTTTCCCGTTTCATACTAATAGACCTGGTACTCTTCCCCGGCAGATACCATCAAAAATCTCAAGCTTTACAAGCTTGATACCTTAGTGTGATTGAGTGGAGATAAGAAAGAAGAAGTAACTCTCTAAAAGACACTATGGCTCTGCAATTAGGTGTTGTCCTTTACAGGGAGGTAGTTCTACTGTATAGAAATTGAATTATAAAATGTGCTTTGTGTTAGTACTTCTGAGCAAAGCTTGTCCAACCCACTAGTATATTCCTCAACACCACATACTGATGCCTTGTACAAATGAATCAGTCTCAAGGCAACAAGACCAAATCCAAATAAATAAACAGTGTGTGACGTTTCGGTAACAGCATTGTTACCATCTTCAGTCAAAAGTTTGATTCAGTACTTTTGTCTGAAGATGGTAACAACGCTATTACCAAAACGTCACACACTGTTTATTTATTTGGATTTGGTCTTATTGCCTTGTGTTTGTAGTCTATAATCCAAATTGTGCCTTGTACAAATGAATCAGTCTGAATCAATCATTTGAAAATAACTCAAATGTAAAAATCACCTATAAAATACATAGAGACAAGTTGCAGGAGGATGAATTGGTATAAAGTTTAATCTGAATTTGCCAAAACTGGTGCGGTTCATTCTTTATCATCACTAATAAGTTTAACTCCGCCTTTGCCGGTTCCAAGCCCGGATGAAAAAGGAAGAGGGGGAGCAGGAACAAGCTCACTAAAAAACCTGGGCTCAGATGGCTCGGCTGATAGTACCCTGTAAGGGCTCCTAATCCAGGGATACAGGATGAGCAGCGTTTGTACTCCATGATAGGAGTGGCTGCACATGGCATCTGTTCCTTATGTCAGAGGCGGCCATTTCATATTGGAGCCAAGTCAGCCTGCCACTGAGTAATGCTCCCAGTCTTAATGACAAAGGTAGACACATTCTACTTCACCCAGTCATGATGGTTGTCATCTCTATAGCTTGATACCCTAATATGATTGATTGAAGAAAGAAGAAGAAGAAGAACTAGAGGACTAGTAAAGTTTTTTGCTTACTAGGGTGATGCACAATGTATTGTTCTGATGCTCAATTAAAGGAAGAGGTGCTTCTTTAGGTTAAAAAAAAAAAAAACATGTGGATAAAAAAAAATGCTTGTTTAGAGACTCTCCTTAACAAAACTTTCATTTAACTGGTACTCCACACAACTAGCAAAGAGTCCCAAATGTAGACTGGACAGATTCAAGTTTGGCAAAATCTAACAAGAATCTACTTCACACATGAAGGGAGCATACGTTACATATGTGGATAGCGGATAACAAGATTCCTACGGGAAAGAGGGCACAACATGACGATCGGACAAAACGGAGAAAGGGACTTACAACCACAGAATTGTCTTTGGCTAGGTGATCCTTAATTGGCTCGGTGGGAAAACCCTGCAACAAAGCAGGTTGGTCTCATCCTGAAACCCAGGGAAGGGCAAGAGGTCATATGAAGCCTGCAGCTAACCAACCAACCAACAGGCCGGCCACAGCAGGCATGTCAGTTTATCTACCCCCACATTTTCAAAAAAAAAAAAAAAAGTGCACAAAGAAAGCTAGTTAGGTCCTAATCAGCCTTCTAATGATCTGTGGTGCAGGGATGACCATTAACCAGTAAAAAAGAAACAATTAGGGAGGGTAGAAATGTCGCTGAGGGGGGGAGCAGCTCTAACAAATATTAAATAATTAATGAGAGAGCGAGAGTTGCTAGGAATCAATAGCCCGCGCCAAACTTTGGTTGGTTGCCTCGGCAACGGGCGGATCGAAGTCTGGCCCCGCACCTTGGAGGCCTTGCCGTAGTGTGTGACCATGGCGCTGTGGTCGCACTCCAGCACGATGTGGGTGTTCTGGAAGGATTCCTTGGGCTGCCGCAACATGAAGTACAGCTCCGTCACGCCCCCCTCGAAGAGGCTACGGAAGTACCGAGGAATCAGAGGCCGCCCGATACCTGCCGCATAGCGTGGCTCAGTCCGCGGGCCATTACACAACAATTAATGGACATCTTAAATTGTTTACATAATGGTATTTGATCGGAAGCTGTCACGTTCCACAAAGTCAGAAAGACATTCTCGGATTAATACATAGACGGCAGTCGGGACGCCGTGTCATAAAATAATTGGACGAGATCAGTGAGGGACATTCCCGTACCAATCTATCTAGCTTAAAGTATCAAACAAGTTCCAACAAGCCCCAGGAGAATGTCTACGTACGTCTAGGCTCACGGAGGCTATCAATTTCTACAGCTACTTGGGAGGACTACGCATAATTTCCATTTAAAAAAAAAAGACCTGCACAGATCTGTAAACAATCGCCGACATTTCGCATCACTTTATCAAACGGCCTGCTATACAATTCAAACAGGCTATCACACAGTACACTTTATAAGGAAGGGA